TTAGCAGATTCTATTACTTTGGGCTAGGGGATTAGCCAAATCCTTGTGGCTTGCTCAATCTCAAGGGGAAGGGTCTTATAGAATTATTATATGAAATTTACCAGACACACATATAAAACAGTAGCTTTTACTTATTTATCCAGGTTGCTTTTAGCTTTAGGTGTCAAAAAGTCTGAGAGATTTAAACTATTAAAGTATTTGATGTTTATCTGAGAATTCTGATAATACATAGTCTGAGGTCTGACTTATCAGTATTATTAAGACTCAGTATTTTTTAAATCCATCTATTCTGCCACTAGAATGTTAGTGCTAGTTGCAAGATGGCAAGCTCTCTTATTTCCTCATGGATTCAAAATGGCTGTCTCCATCAATTTTAAACAATAACAAAACATAAGTTGCACAGGAATGAACAAAAACAAAAGATAAGCTACATAGGAATACATTTAAACTAAATGTGCAAAATGCATACAAGAAAACGTTCATACTCTCCTGAAATATTAAAAAAGGCAAAATGAAAATTGAAAAAAATGGAGATATTTGAGGGGGGTGTATAGGATCGTTCAACAAATGAAGATATAAATCATTTCTACCTTAATGTAGAAATTTAACTCAATTTCCATCCCTCCAAAGACCAAAGAGATTGGGGTTGTTTTGAGTTAAACAACTTCATTGTGTATTCCATGTGGATAAAAGACCCAACATATAGGAAAAGAAGAAGACTAACAAATTCTCCCAGATTATGGGGCACACTATTGAATTTCTTTAATTAAAGTAGTATGACATGGGTTAACAAATCTTGATGGGTTGGCAAACCAGTGGAATAAAACAGAGTTCTGGGTAGACCCTCATCTCTGGAATTGATATATGATAAGGTGGCATCTTAAATAACTAGAAAAATGATGGATTTTAAAATCAATTGTGCTAGAGTGATTAGGAAAAATTAAAATTATATCCATACCTTAAGCTGTACACAAGAAGATCTGTTATGTACACACAGTGGGATACTACTCAACTATAGAAAAGCTGAACTCTTGCCATTTGCACCAACATGGATGGAATTGGAAGGTAATATGCTAAGTGAAGTTAGAAAGGCAGGAAGTCTTAAATATTAGATGATTTCATGCATATGTGCAATATAAGAAACAAAGTAAAGGAACAAAGCTAAACCAAAATAAAATCTAGAAATCTGTCTGCAGAGTTGAGGCTACCAGAGAGGAAGAGTGGGGAACAAAGGGAGGAGCAGACCCAATGGATTGTGGCAAAGGATTACTGATGCGTAGGTGGTGGGGGTGGTGTGGTAATATATATCTGAGGAAAGGTGAACATATACTCCTAAATTATATAAAGTATTGTAAACCAGTGCTACCTAAAAAAAAAAAGAAACCTCATGACTAAAGAAAGTGAAATAAAAAATTTGTATTTAGACATATATGCACAGATTTGTTATTTCTGTAAGTTTCTGGGCAGTTTTTCCTTTCTTTTCCATTTTGTAAAAAAAGAATTTGAATTTTTTTATGCTGAATATGAATTCATTTTATAAAAACCAGCGTTCTATTTTCAAAAGAAAAAAAAATCTGTAGGTTTTTAGTATTTTGGAAAACCTGGAGATGATAGATTCTGTTTTAGGAAAATGGATTTTTCAGAAGCAAAAGAACAGTCAATGAGGCCTGAGTATTTAGTCAAAGGCAACAAAACCTTTGTTCCTTTGTGACAGGTTAAAACAGGGTGCTAAGCCCTTCCTGTGAAGTGTTTGAGGTTGCTGTGCAAAGAGGTTGCTTGCTGACTCCTTGATAGGACCTGGTGAGCCTTAGTTGGCTCACAGCTGAGGCCCAGCAGGGGACCTTCCTTGGAAGCATGCTTAGCTTGTTGTCTGGCCAGCAAAGAGGTAAAGTTAGCAGGCTGTTTTGACCCAGGCCTGACCGGACTGTCTTGTCCTGCTTCCCATTCCAGCACTTGTGTTGGAATTGTGGATTCCAACATCCTGGGGTGCAGTATGTGACTCCTGTCCTCACAACTTCAGAGCTAGACTTTGATCTCACCTCTGGGGATTCAGTTTCTGTTCAAGTCCATCAGTCCTTCAAGTCTATGGATTTTACCCACACAGCATCCCAGGCAGATGACTCATTTCAACCCTGGCTGTTCTTTATATGCTGACCTTCTGTCGGTATCAGTTACCAGCTCCATATCCTATTTGCAATGCAGAGCCTACATCTCAGCTGTGAATAATGCTTGCATAAACATTTAAGCCCCTCTGACATCATGAGACTCTTTTCCAAAACTTGGTATGGAGCATTACTTGAATTTATATCCATTTTTCATAGGAAAACAATGAACTCTAGGAAAATATTTGATTTCCCGTTAGTTAATGTTTGTTTTAACTAAGGCACTGTCAGCATAGCTTGTATATCACACTAATGCCCCATTTTTCAAATGTTAAATGTTTTGAAAATTTAAAAACATACAGAGGACACCATAGAAAACTCCTTTGTTCAGATCACTCAGATTTAACAATGGTTAACATTTTGTGAGGACTATTTCAAGTTTAAAATTCAATTTTACTTCTGTGTGTGGGCAGTGCTGGCCTCAGGAAAACAGAGAAAAGGTCAAGGTTTTTTACTGCTGTCTCCTTCCTGGGCGTCTGTGGATGTGGCTTGTGCAGGGGACCAGGCGCTGCCTCTTCCAGAACAGCTGTGCTGGCAGCTGTTAAGGTAACCTGGGACTCTAGATAGGAAAACAGAGTTCTCAACTATATTAGAAAAAAATTCTGGTGTGAGTCACACAAAAAGTTTTAAGCAGAAAAAGGAATGTTAGAACAAAGCAAACATAATAACCTCACAGGGGAATATCTAGGCATGGGCTCAGAAAAGAGATGCATCCAGAAGATAAACAGTTGTTTGAAGTCCCAGCTCACAAGTGTTTCTCTCTGCTTCATTCTTTATTCTTACTCTGTTTCATCCTGGAAAATAGCCTCCTGTAGCTTCTGTGTTTACATATGACATGTTAACCCTCACAGAAAGACTTAGCAGAACTTGTACGGCAAATCTGCATATTTGAGAGGGGGTTGATTGTCCTGCCTGCATAGCATGTCCATGCAGGTCCAGCAGATGGTGGACAAACATGGCTGTCAAGCTCTCATATCTGTGATCCTGTGGATTTGGAGGTTGAGGGCTCTTCTCCAAAAGGAAACTCCCTTCTCACATCACTGCATATCACCCAGGGGACAAACATTGCAGTTTGACAAACAGATAACTGAAATTTCAGCAATAGGTAAGAACTGTTCTCTAATCTAGGCATCTAGAACTTGCAAAGCACAAGAAGATAATGGTAAAGAGAAGATAATGAAGATAGCTACCCCTAACGGCATCACTATACCTGTTTCTCTAAAGGATCACAGAACATTTAGGCCTCCTTCATGGCACAAGTGGTTAAGTCTCAGCACTGTGAAGTTATCCACAGCCCTAGCATGAGTTCAATCCCTGGCCAGGAGCCTACGTCCCATAAATCTTTAAAAAATAACTAAATATATATAAGATCACAGAACAGAATTTGCTGGGGGACAAAGATTCCTGGATTTAAGAATAGGCTACACTATAATATTGATGCTAGTGTTTCTGCATTTCTTCCATAAAATTTTAGACCCTGATGTGCCAAGGACATAACTGGGCATGAGGAAATAGTGACAGTCTAACCCCAAACTCCTTCAAAAGGCTTCTAGTTTTATGTGACCCCTGCATGTGTATTATAAAGGGTCAGCTCCATTATTTTTTTAGCAATATCTCATAAAATAAGCACTTCCTTTTAATTTTGTATTCACTCTAAAGGTCTGTAATTGGGTTTTACCACTATAAGTAATTTTAAGTATTTCCTGCAATTTCAGGGTAGATATAGCTAAATATATAAAATGAGATCATACTTGCATTCCAATACCAGCCCATTGAAAATTGAAGCAGAATACTAATAGTGATACTGTTTTTATCATTTATAATATTTTTATGAAGAAAATAATTTTTAAGCATGGACTTGGGATAAAGAACAGGCCCTGTCTGTGAAGGCTATATGGTGCAGTGAGCTTCACATACCACAGATATTGGCTCTTTATTTACTCATAAAAAGTAGTTTCTCTAGGACCTTTTGCCCTAATATATTGCAAATTTCTTTTAAAAGTTAAGGCTCCAGCCTCACTTTACTTGAACAGCAGTAGTGGTTGGAGTTTTGGATTGACACTTAAAAGCATGGAAACTCAAAGAGCTTCAATCGACACCAGGGTGGCTAAACTTTAAGAATGACACAGGAGCAGCAATAATAGGACACAACGTGAAGCAGAGTAGGGACTGACTCACCATCCTGCCGGGGCCACAGCAGTTCTCTCCACACAGTGGTGTGCACATGGGCATGGGAGATAAGGCTGAGAACATGTGGACACATTCAGTTTAGGGAAGCTATGCAGCTTTTGTGCTTGTTCCCCTCCATCTCCTCCTGGTATTTGGGGGACCTCCATTCTCAGAATACCTGTGTCTCACCAAAGTTCTTTAGTCATGACTTACAGTGAAGACAACAGGGTAAAGCTACAGGTTCGTGTTCTCCACTCAGGTTCGTGTTCTCCACTCAGGAAGCCCTCAAAATTCCTTAACCTAGTGCTACAAGAACTAAACCAAACTTGGGGCCAGACACCTCTTGTGTTGCTGTGATGAAATGATAGGCCTCAAACCAACTGTCAATGCAGAACCCTGTCTTTCCCACATTGTAGCCCCCAAACAGTGTGGCTCATACACTAGGTAATCCATAAATCATTGTTCCATGCATACTAATTGGGACTTCTGAATTTTAATTATGTTATATTCAGGTTTCTCCCATCTGGGGTTTTTAAATAAATAAATGACTGTCTAGCAAGACAAACTATTTTCCTCCCAATATTTTAAGAGCAATCTATTGCAAAGGTCTTTATGCTGATAAAAGGCATATGAGCGTAAGCACTAAACTGTCCTTTCTTAATCTTTCAGATTATTTGAATATATTTTGCTCTTTAAGGATGGAGTGATGTTTCGGATTGAACAAGCCACCAAGGAGTGCTCCAAGTTCACCCTGACGGATCCCTGGGACCCTCTAGATATTCCTCAAAACTCCACTTTTGAGGACCAGTATTCCATAGGGGGACCCCAGGAGCAGATCACCGTCCAGGAGTGGTCTGACAGAAAGTCAGCCAGATCATGTAAGATTCAAAAAAATAGTCAAGTGCTGTGCCTCAGGAAGTAATACAGGGGGAAGGAGGGAAAGTTATTTAAGTCTATTAACTTCCTTAATATTGTTGCTGGGGAGATTTGTTAAGTTTAGTCAAATCATTTAGCTTCTTGCTGAGTCCCCAAGTATACTTGCTAGCTAGACAGTGCCAGCATTGGGCATCGTATTTGAAACACATCAATCAGCCTTCTGATGCCATCTTTACCAGCTAATGGTCTGTGATAGGGGAAGAATTTGTCTAAGGCATTTTTCAAGTTACTGGAAATCCCAGTGATCAGATATGCTTCTATTATTGTGAGCATCTGCCTTTATACACTGAGCTGAAGCTCTTCTCCTGAGTTGCAATATTCTCACCCCAAAGCTGTTTCAAAAATACAGGCCTCAATGATGTGGCATTTCCCAAAAAATTAAGCATAGAATCTACATATGACCTGGTAATTCCACTTTGGAACACGGCAAAAGAATTGAAAATAAAAATGCAAGTGGACATTTGTACTTCTGTGTTTGTGACAGCATTATTTGCAGTAGTTAAGAAAGTGGTGACAACCCATGGGCTGTCAGTAGAAAAATGGATATCAAAGGATGGTGTATACCATTATTAGACCTTAAAAGGGAAGGGAATTTTGACATAAATTACAAAATGGATGAACCTTGAAGACATTATTCTAAGTGAAATAGATCAGTCACTAAAAGACAAATGAAATTCCTCTTTTACTACTTAGAATAGTCAAGTTTCATACAGATCAGGAGGACATTGGTGATTATCTGGGGTTAGCATGGGGGAAATGGGAAGTTAGTGTTTAATAGGCACAGAGTTTCAATTAGGGAAGATGAAAAGATTCTGGAGATCCATGGTAATACGAATATATTTCATATTACTGAGCATTATTCTCCTATATTAAAAAGTCAATTTTCCTTCCTGTTACAGATGAAACCTGGATTGGCATTTATACAGTCAAGGATTGTTATCCTGTCCAGGAAACCTTCACCAAAAATTTCAGTGTGGTATTTTCTACAAGGTTTTTTGACATAGAGCTGGGCATTAAAGACCCCTCAGTATTTAATCCCCCAAGCACATGCCAGATAGCTCAACCAGAGAACACAAGTGAAGACTGCTTCTGGTGAGTCCATGAACAACCATCATGAGAAGCCTCAGACTTCCAGTTCCAGACTTGATTTGAGATTCAAATGGGAATTGAGAATGTTCAATGGAATTTTAGGAAAATAAATATTTTTCTGTATATATAAATATATATATATTGACTACTGAAGTTATATTTTAAAAAAGGAACAGAATGGAGATTAAGTGGTAATGTAAACTGAAAAGGGCTGACATGGGGCCCTGAGACATTTCCACGGCCTGTTTGGGTGTATGGGGGTGTATGCTAAGTGCAGGGCACTCAGGGGAATGAGGGTCAGCGGCAGGAGTCTGCCTTGGCGGCAGGGAGTTTCATTACTGATGTGACTGAGATTGCTGGATTGCTGGTACAGAGTGATAATGAAAAGCAGAATATGTGGGTAGTTTTATTATTAATTTTTAAGATCTCTACAATGACTGCTTTATTACCTGCACCTGTAGGGTGGCAACTGTACCCACTGCTTACTTTCTCCAGCATTCCCTCTCCCCCTGCTTGCCCGACACTTCCTTGGCCACTAACAAAGCAAACCCTTAAAATCCCTTCCAGATGTTAAGAGCTTTATGCCATGACCTGACTAATGTAAACATCTGAGAAGGAAGAAACACTATAATGAAAATTAATTATTCTCCTAAAGAGACATTTTAAACAGGAGGGTTTAGGTAATCTTGTCTATGCCTGGATCTGAACCACAAATGCTTCTTTTATTGTATGCAAAAGAATTGGTCTATATGTGCTGAACCATCATATACTTGTCAGTAGACCTGCAGAGTCAGGTAGTATTCTAACAACAGAACTGAAAAGGAAGTCGGTAGATTGTTGTTTCCAAAATCAAAGACTATAATTCCCTTATACTTGAACTCCTTGGACGAGTTAAATGCACTATACTTCCCCTCACCTCAGCCTTTCTGGGGGCCTTTTCACAGCCGCTTTATATCACTTGTACTTGTGCACATCGTTCCCATGTCAACACAGACTTAACCTTCTGAGGGTTGTTCCTAAGCCTGGGTTGGGTACACTTTGCTCTTGAGCATGCTAGTCTCACAACACCTGCTAGGCTGTGTGTTAATTTCCTGCTTGCTGGACATCGCCACCCACCATCCTGGTTATGAGATACTTTGAGTACAGGAACCATGTTCTGTTTATTTTTACATGCCCAGAGCCAAGTAAGTGCCTGGCACATAGTTAGTGCCCTAAACATATCTAGAGTATAGCAAGAAACCTCTCTAATCCTTTCTGTACTCATCTGTTAAATGTAGCTGATCTCTAGGGACACATTCAGTAATAAAATTTATTATTCTAGACTTCTGAACTATGTGTTTCATGTAACCAGGAGAAATGCATGATGCTATATTATGCTGAAAACAATCTGTAGTACAATTTACCTGTATTATTTTAATAAAATTTAATTTCAGTTCAAAGTATTATTTAATGTATTCACATTTTCAATAAATATGGGTTATATTGGTTTAAGGGGGCTAATACTGTCCTTTATAATAATTAAAGTACTTTTATGATCATAACCCAGTTCATTATTCTCTCAAAAACCTACTCTTCTACTTATTTTCCTTCAAGTCTACTTACTTGCCGGAGTCAAAATCTGCAGAATCATTCTTTATTCATTTTTCTCCTCTTGTTATAATAGTCAATCCATTTCAAGTTTTATCAGAAGAGTTGTTAAAGATACTAAAGTTTCTGCCTCAGTTACGAGTTCTTAAAGTTACTGTCTTAAACCATCACCCGGACCAGGCTGTTAACATTGCTGCCTTTGCTTACCATGTGTCCTTACCTTGTTTTTATTCCTGAAACCATTCTCTTTTCTGTTAGTTTGTAAGTCAGTCATAGGCCAAACTAAGCCAGTTATCTCCAGTACCCATGTGGGCTCTTGTGGTCAGAGATCAGTGAAGTCTAGCTCTAGATGGCATTAGATGGCACCTGGATTGCACAGACAGGGGGTACTGTCACAACTGCCTTCGGGTGGGCCAGCCTGATAAAGCCTTTGTGACAATGTTTGTTATACTTCCTGTCTCTCTACTACAGGATAGTCCCACTTTTCTCCAAACTGCACTTCTTCCCTTAGCCTAAGAACCTTTATCCACCCCCAATCTTGATCCCCACTCAAACAAGAAAGGGCATACAAAGTGGGTGCCTTTTCATTTTCAGTTGGCTTGGTTTAGAGGGGAAGCCACATTATATGTGGAACTGAAAATACTTTGATTAAACTGAGTTAATAAAATAATGGAAAAAATTACCACTTCCAAACAGATTTTAAATCTGATGGAATTTCCACATAGATGGGATGGTGCCAAAAGGTAAGTGGAAGACTCTTTAGCATGTGTCCAGTGAAGAACCTTTTGAGCAGCTCCTGACTCCTTTTCCAGTTTGACCACACTTGCACCACATGATGACAGGAGCATTTTCTTAGGCATGAATCTTTACTATAATAACCATTATAGTAAAAAAGAGTGCAGCTCTGAGAGAGGGCAGGGACTTGTTTGTCCCTGTTAACAAAGTGCAACACCCAGTGTCTCACTGAGTTGCAGACAGGGGGCCTAAACTAGGCTTGGATACCACTGAGGACATGGGCTTCATGTATCTAAACGCAATCCTGCTTTTAGCAACTTCTTCCACTTCTCCCAAGGCAGATATCCCACTTCCAAATTGCTAATGTCCATGCAAATACTGGGGTGCTCTTTCCTCTTTCAACTCTGAAGAACTGGCCCTTGGGGCTGAAACATCCTTCACTCCTCCCTCACCTGCATGTGGAATCAAAGGTACCTAGACGTCCTGTTTCCTACTATTCTATTATCAGGGTTACTTTCTTACAAGAATCTTTGCTAGGTGAGATCATATCACATTTCCTAAAATTGGAGCATGTGAAAATTAAATATTTTTAAAAGGTCAAAGAGTTTAGGTTGCTATAAAAATATTCCATGAAATACTTTTAACTTCCTCTCAAGAAAAATTTTACACCATTTAAAAAAATTGAAAACTTAATACTCATCTCTTGATGGACTTCCTTTATTAATTCCACACTTTCAATGCTGTTATTTAAATCAGTTTACCAATGTATTTGCCTCTTTGCCTATGTACTTGTCACATGAAGGCATTTTTAAGTTTGTAGTAGGTAGATTTTGCCTTCCTCCATGCACTGAAAACACCTCAAGTACAAGAACAATGTCTTTCCTGTTTCTTTTGAGTCAAAATAAATTAGAAAAGTACAAAAGAACTGCTTTAGCCAGACTTGGGCATAACTAATGAGATTTAAAGGTCCTGTAAGTAAGTAGCATTTTAAAAAATATATTTAAAAACTTTTATATATGGATGTTCAAGTATCTTTTAAGATGCCATTTAAAATAATAACTGAAATATATTTTTGTTTTAAAGTAGAATTACTATATCAGCTACTTATGTAGAAAAAATATTGTGTCTGTAATGTGTTATATATTGAGGGAGGATGATGCTAGTTTTTATGATATTCAATTTTAAATTCATATTGTTTTCATTAGAGCAAAAGTTGATACAATACTTACAATATCTATTTCATATTTAAAATTGGAAAATTTAGCAAAACCTCAGCAATCAAGGAGTGGACTTTAATTATACTATAAGACTAATTTGCAGTGCATACATAATATACAGTATTTAGGTAATCTGAATATTTATGTGTGTTGCTACAGCATTACCAATGGAATATTGTATATATATTTTAACATACTTTTTTCTCAGTATGGAGGAAGTTTGGAAAAACACTGGTATTGTTTCCTAACCAGGAGGCACCAACCTAACCTATTAGAAAGCTCCCTGTTAACTAGATATACAACTGTTTAACAGTATAATTTTGAGCTAGATATGTTGGTAGTATTAAATATATCATAGAAATTTAGGGACTTTTGGCTTTATTTCAACCCCTGTAGCATAAATTGTACCTTACTCATGAGTTTATAGTAGTTCTGCCCAACTTATGGAATAAGTACATCTTAGCCAAGCCAAGTTTCCCATAAATTTCATTATAAGATGTGATGTTCCTTTCCCAGGAAAAATAAAGATATGTAAAATTAAATTGAAATATTTTAGAGAGAAAAGACTAAGATAATGATTATTTCTGGAACTAATTACATTAGTTGATGAGCATATGTGATCAGAACTGACAATGTAGTCTCTTTTTTTTAGGGCCCTTTATTTTTGTAGTGGGGGAGTGGGAGGGAAAGAGAGGGAAAGGAAGAGGAAAAAGTTATTTACCACCAGAAATGTTCAATCCAAAGTTACAGCTGTGTGTTGAATAAATATGAGAATAGGTCAAGTTTTACTAGATCAGCATCATCTTCATATTTTCAGTTTAGATAGCTATCCTTTAAGTTACCCTAATATAGAACATTTTTAGACTGAATATTCCTTCTAGACCATGAACCATTGACCAGAAATTCAAAATTTTTCTGATGCCTTTGTAGCCACACATCTAATAACTGTAAACATTGTTACTTAATGAGGAAAGAAAATATCCTAAATGAGCAGTCCTACTGATTTTGGACAGCTAACACTGCTTTTTACAGTTCAAAAATTTCAAAATGACACATTTTGTCTGCTCTGAACAAGTGAATTTTAGTATTCTGGTGTGTTTGGGTGTGTAGAAAAAGTTTCTTGAGGGAGATTTTTCAGTTTGACTTTGCATGGTAATGTTATTATGTACATATTCCCTGAATAATGAGTTAATGGGTGTTCTGAAAACTCAATAGTCTATCTTATACTTCCTAAGTCCCTTAGTTTCCCAGCTCAGTCAGCAGAACTTTTTGTTTTTTGTTGCCAACAGTTACGAAGGGGTTGGGGGGTGGGGGGTGTAATTTTATTCAAATAGTAAGAGAATGAATTTATTATGGTGTTTACAGAGTATGCTCCTAGAGTGAAGACAACATTTCCCCCAATACAGTCTACTCACAAATAACTTTATTAATAAATTTTTCATCTTGGTGAATTTATATGTCTCTAGAGTTAGTAATGAAGTCAGGCATATATAAATGGGTTAAGTTTAAATTGCTTCTAAAATAGAAAATGAAGCAAACCTCTGTGATTGAAAGAAGACCAATATATAGTAAGCAGATAAATAAGCTATTTAGATGTACAAGCTATGAAAAGGGAAGATCTGCTAAAAAGTAGAGAAATCATGAAGTCCTAGTAAAGCAAGGTTGCTATCACATCAAGGTGAACAGGAGTGGAAATGATGTGAATAAAACCTGGGATGTAATTTTGTTAGAAGATAAGTGTTTTAAAGGACATATATTGGCTTATATGGAGTTCAGGGAATTGTAAGTCCAATGATGCAACAGTGTTTGTCTACCCTGTCCAGGAAAGAAAATGAAAAAACATGATATTCTTTCATGTTTGGAACAGTCATGAGATCAAAATCATGTGTCATTACTTTGGACAAGATCCAGGAATACCCAGATTTTACTTCCCTCTCTGGTGAATGAGGCTAGACCAAGAGAAGAAAGTCAATGCCAAAGTAGTCACAGGACAGAGCAGGTCAGATTACAAAGCCAAATTATTATCCATTCTACTGAAAAGTCCTAATGCAAGTAGATTTCATTACTCCTTTGTTCACCAAAAGAACACGCAGCGAAGACCCACTAGCACCAAAGTACAAGGGCATGGAGGAAATGTATCTACTTCAGAACCCCATGCTGCCTTCCTTTGGCTGATCAGAACAATGGTCAATGCACTAGAAGAGAAATATTTGGGCCTAAAGGTCTGGAAGAATTGAGTAATGCCCTGGAAGAATTTTCATTCAGATCAAGCAGATTCCTTTCTGATTAGACATTTTATTTTTTGAGAAATTTGTTATAATAAATGAATGTCATAAATAGCAATGCAAGAATTTCACTCACTGGAAAGATTAGAAATACCATTGTAAAATAATACATTATTTTCTGGTTTATATGCTGGACTCAATAAAATTACTTAGTATATGTCAGGTCCTAAAGTAAAGTAATAGGTAGGACAAGAGCTTGAAATCATGCCTATCTGATTGGATATGTTATTGGACAAGTTATGGGAACTCTTGGTGAACTTAAGTTTTCAGCACTTCCTATTTTAAAAGATTGTTAGTATTAAATAAAATAGCACTTATAAAGTATGTAATAGGTGGTTTTGCAAATAATATATACTCAAATGTTAGGTAATTCCTAACTTTTTTGTTGTCTTTCTCCTGAGCATCTGGTCAACAGACTTTAGGAACCAACAAAACCAACCCTTCATGATTAGATCAGTTTTAGGGTGACCAGGAAGGGAGTGCCTTTTATTTATTCAC